CTTAGTGAGAGTCCTTCTTGCTGCTGGAATTAACACCATAAGCTACTTTTATATATTTTCTTGTGACTCAACAAAATAGGTACTGTTATAGGAGCAAATTCTGCACTGCGCGGAATTCGATTATCTCAAACTTTTGTTAATTGTCTTTTGAGATTAGCCTATGTTTGTATCACCTTATGATAAACTAATGCGAAATTCAAGATATTTGACACTCTCCACAGTCTAAAAGCAGACGGCGTTATATTCAAATTTTTGTGAAGCAAGTTTTTTTCTAGAATTACCTCCAACCTGTCTTCATGTGTATGTGACATTTCTTACTCACATTCGATACTTCAACTGAAGTGCTAGACGAATTTTAATTCTAGGTTCAAATTTACTTTTCCTGATTCTTTGAACAGTGGAGTTGGAGATGATCTGCCGTTTTTCCTTTTACATATCCAAAATATAATTTTCTTTCAGCTATTTATTACGGCATTTTGAGGTTGACCGAGTTTCGAATATTCAGAGCACCGATCAATTTGTATCAGGTTATTGTGAGTAGTTTGTCAACAGGCACTAGTTCGTTTAGGATGCTTTTTGGGGACCTGGTGAGCCTTACATGGACGATGGTCGCATTGAAGTATTCAAGGTGGACATTCCTGATGAACAGTGAGTAGAATTGAATAGTCAAATCATTTTAAATGTTTTTCATTCCAAGGGTTGACAACTTGAAGTCACTTATTCGACCTGATCGTCTATCACATCCTCTGGAAGATTGCGAAAAATCGCAAACTAGACATGATCTCATGCGAAATCTTTCCAAAGTAATGAGTTCATTCGACTGGAAGCAGCATCAGCATTTTCTGAACACTTTCAAGCAATATAGGTAGGTAGATGAGCAGATTTTAGGGATATTATAGTTTCTTATAGGACCGAGATTGAAGGATTACAAATTCACTTTTTACGGGTTTCCTTACCAAAGGAGAAAGGAAAGGATACCATACCGATTTTGTTACTGCATGGTTTTCCTGGAAGCTATTGGGATTTCTACAAAGTCCAATTTTTCATGTCAAGCTTTTTGCAAACAAATTTTTAAGAAAATTTACTTCCAGGTAATTCCAATTCTTACAAATCCTGTCCGATTCGGATTCGATTTTGGAGTGAAGAGACCGTTTCAATTCGAAGTCATTGTGCCGAGCCTTCCAGGATTTTTATTTTCTTCAAAACCTTCGAAGAAAGGTAAGATGAAGCTCAGTGTGCTCAACTCACTCATAGTGCTTGACAAACTTTCCTAGTAAGGAAGAGTGAAAATTATCAAGGAGGTGAGAGGGGGGGGGGGAACCAAATCACGTTTATTGGTGGCTGAAACTTTTCTTTG